AGCTAAAGGAAGAGCCAAACCACCCCCTTGAGCTGAGAGGAGCTAAAGTCCTCCAGATTCTCAGTTTTCCCCACAAAGTCCTTCAGTGTCTTAAAAGAAAAAAAAAAAACCCACAACATTTTTCTGGGGGAAAATGCAGTGATTCCTGAATCCAGCCCACTGCGGGGTCTGGGCCACCACACCATGATGCAGCTTATAGGAGCTGTTCTGCTTGTGCGTTTAAATAACAAAGGTCCTTTTTACATTAAAAAAAAAAAGTGCCCTGATATCTGCAAAGATCCAGGTTGAAACAGAAGCACCAGCAGCACCCCAGGATAAAGCCCACAATCCCCGGAGGTGCATCTGGACTTTTCCTCCTGGTTGGAAACCTCTGACTTCCCCAGCCCCTCAGAGCCACCCTCTCCAGGGATGCTGTGCCCTCTTTGCCCAGCTTTCTGGGCTGCATGGGGATAACACAGGCATGAAGCTGCCTTCCTCCCTCCTTCATCCTCTTCCTTCACACTGCTGCGGTGTTACCCCAGCACAGGACCTTTGGCATCCCAGCGGGTCCCTCACCCACGGCATGGCCCCAACAAAAGGGAGCTCAGCCGGCTGCTCCATCGCTTCATTACCTTTCCCCAGCGTCTTTTCTGGCAGGAGGTTCTGAAAGCAGGTTGATGAACGCAAGGCACCGTGCTCCGACAGCTCCTGGTGTGAAGCCACCTCCTGCAGGGAAGAGCCCGCTGGTGGCCAGGCTGGGGGAGCAAGGATGCGGGAGCCATGGCAGGAGGTTGGTGTTCAACTTTGCACTCACCCATCCAGGCCAACACCGGTGCTGGAGAAGTGCTTTGGGTTCCACGCAGGCTCCTGGCATCCCATCACAATCCCGCTGGCATCTCGCATCCCAAGCTGGGGTAATGCCCTGCACAGCACATCCCACCTCAGCCCCCTCTGCTCAAGTCCCCCAGCTCTGCAGAGGCAATGGGAGCTCATCAACTCAAGCCCCTACCCATAGCACCCACCCTCGAGGTGCACCCACAGCCAAGGCAGCATCACACAGCTCAAGCCAGTGCCTTCAATATCTCCAGTTCTGCAGGGCAAGCCCTGACCGTCAGCCTCCTACTTGTAGGAGAAACTCAGCCAAAGGATTTTTTTTTTTTTTTTTTAACCTGAGTGCATCCTAGACCAGAACTTTGGGAAGAAGACCCAGGTCTGTGCACTGCCAGCACAAAGCCAGGGTGGCCCCAGAAGGGCAGGGTGGCAGCTGGGTGACACAGCCCACTTGGGCTGCCCCCACAGGCAACTGCATCCCACGAATGACATCCAGTGCTGGACAGGGAGAACACAGCACCATGCCCACAGGTCCCTCTGCCATAGCTGAGCCTTGCAGGTGACACTTGTGACACAGGCCAGATATTTAGCCCCAGGCCTGCACCCATCCCAGACCTGTACCCATCCCAGTCCTGCCTGTCAGCTGCCAACCCCCACTTCCTCAGAAGTTTGGCCAAAAATTAAGGTGTGAGCCCAGTCACTCCTACACCTGGGCACCCACCTTGCCCTGTCCCTCTGGGTGTCATATAAGAAGCAAACCTGGGTGAAGAGCACCTTTCTCCCATGTTGCCTTCCCATGGAGGCTCCCAGGGCTGTCCCCCCAGGCACCATCCCCACCTCCCCTGTCTTCTCCATCCCATAAAGGTATCCAGGGCTTTGGTGCCTAAATAACCACACAGAGCTGGCTGGTATCTTGGATCCTGGCAGCCACAAAAGCAATGGAGGGAGAAAGCAAAGCAAGGAGAGAGGCCACAGGGATGGTGCATACACGGCACGGATCCGACAGAGCTCCACTCTGCTGCCACTACGTCCTACCCTCACGGTAATTAAGGGAGCTAAAATAAATAGGGATGGTTTCATCCCTGCAGGGATAATTCCTCCTCCCAGGGTTCCGTGTGCCTTCAGGGCTGCCCGGGAGGTTGGGGATGTGGCAGCCAAAGCCAGCAGGTTGGAAATGGAAATTTCCCAGGAAGGGAGGAAATCACTTGTTTCTGGGGCATAACCAGCCCTCGCCCTCCAACAACTTCGTTTGATGCTGCCGTGTCCCTAAATAGCTCCTCAAAGCTGCTGCTGGGAGCTTACGTCTCCTTCACCTCTGCTCCCCTCCAGCCTTGGGAAACGGGCTCACGCAGCCCCTATTTCCAGAGCACCTCGCCCAGAGTGGGAGGGAATCTCCTGCAGCCGCTGCAGGGACCCGGTGGCACTGCTGCCCGCCCCAGCACAGCCCTCTGGCCATGGGCAATATTTTGGGGAGTGCAGAGCCCCAGGAAGTTTGGGTCTCTAAGGTCAGGAGTGGAAACCACCAAGCCTTTGGTGGGTCTGGAGCCAAGGATGCGCTTTCAGAGAAGGGGTGATGTTGTGCCGGGAGGGGAGTGTTTCCCCAAGTGCAGTGGGGCTGGCAAACCTCTCCAACCACCCTTGAAGTTGGTACCTCAACCCCAACCCGTTCACCATCCCTGCTCGGGGCTGGGGATGGATTGGGAGAGAAAAGCGGAGCACGGGAGGCACGAGAAGATGCACCCAGGAGAGCAAGCAGCAAGGGGAGGGTACACGCCGGGGCCGATGCTTGTGCTCAGCCAAAGCGCTGAAGTCAGCACTCTCCGGAGCCATCTGTTCCCGGCGAAGCCCCGGCGCAGACGGACTCGCCCAGGCTCCCGGCAGCGGATGCCGCAATTCGGTGATTCATGCGGCGAGGGGCCGGGGATGGTGTAAAGCCGGACACTGCCTCTGCGGCCGTGCAAACTCCAGGGATGGGGGCCGGAAAATTATATATGACCCACGCCGCTGAAAAGCTTTTTCAACCATTTTTCTGGTCGTGTGAGCTGGCTTTTAAATGGCAGCACAGCTCTTTACTGCTGGACCAGAGACCTGACTCAAGCTGGTTTTTCCCTTATTCCAGGGCACGGGTAACCTCCGGCTTCACAGGCTCTAAATGCTCATTTGAAAAGGCCAAGTTCAGCAAGCAGCCTATTAGCAAAGCCAGCGAGAGCCTCTGCACTTGTCTCCCAGGTGTAATTGCAAAATGCAGCATCAACAGGAGCTTCTGGGGTGTCTCAGACCTGTTTCGTCCCTTCATTACTCCAAGCTGCCCAGCAGCCCATGCGAGGCAGAGCAGAGGAGGGAAACTGAGGCAGAGCAGCAGCAAAGCAGCAGTGGGAGGTTGCAAAGACCCAACTGAATAGCACTTACGGTGCAACCACCGTGAGGGGCTCGCTCCGCTCCATACCCAGCCTGGCTGCCTTTCAGAGCAGCACACAAGACACCAAGGAAAGTGTGGCTTGAGGAGCCGTGGGAAGGGAACCGCGCAGCCTTGCACGGCCGGTCTCAAGGCCATCCCTCACCAGATGCTGATCTCCACCGGCTTTGTGCAGTCTCATTAAAGCTAAGCTGAGCCATAACTCATCGGAGCAGGGAAGTCCACATTAAGAGCTGGCAGCGACGACTTCAGCTTTTCAGGCCTCCTTCCAACAGCAGGCGGGTGTTACTCCCAGCATCGCTCCCCACGGCTCCTCGTCGGCTGTGGAAAACGGTTTCGGAGCTGCTCCTCCAGCCACTTGGGAGAGTGGGGGGCAAGGGGGTGGCTGCCCGGCGAGGCTGCCCCCCTTGCCCTTGGATCACCGTAGTGGGGACATACCTGGGAAAAATTCACCCACAAGGTTAATGGTGCCTAAAAGCACCCAGCTGCGAGCAGGAGCCTGCGAGGGTCCCCTGTCCTGCTCAGGGCCCGGGCGGGCAGCCAGGGGACCCCCGGCCAGCCCCGGGGGTGCCGGGCCCCCCCTCCATCCCCGCTCAGCCCCCTCTCTGCTCCCCGTTACCGGCCTCCCAGCGCCACCTAACGACACGGCAACCGGGGATAAGGACCTTCACGGGGAAGCCAGACACATCCCGGTCCCCAGAGAGAAGGGCGGAGAGCACGGAGCGCAACGGGGAGGCGGGAGGCTGCAGGACACCCGGCTTGGGGATGCAGGCAGCAGAGGAAGGGGGAGCTGGGGGTACATAACTATTATGAACCTTCCTCTACCCACGAGGCCGAGTCCTCCATCCCTGCCCTTCGCTGACCTTGATCATCCCATGGCTTTCCTGGAGCCTGGCATTAACCCCAGGGCCTTGGCCAAGTTCTGGGTTGAACGAGGATGCTGGGCTCAGCAAAGAACCTGTTTAATCTGCTCCCCTTAATCAGCCCCAAAACTACCCTGAAGCATCACCAGTTTGGGAACAGGCCTTTGCCGTGCTCAGCGCAAGCACAGTGCCTGTATCATGGCCCTAAAAGCATCCTGACATCAACATTCAGGGCACTGTGGAAGAAAATGCCAGGGAAGAGTCGGCCCATCACTTCCCAGTACCTGCAGATTTGATACAGCCACAACCCCCCCTTCACGGTCATGTTTCTGGCTGGGCTACCTAGCAAAACGGCTGCTCCCTGCCCTGAGCACAACCCCCTCACCTCCACACCCCCCTTCCCGAAGCGCTTATTCGCCTCAGAACACAGAGCTGATGTAATCTCCCGCTCAAGAGTTCAGCATTAGGACTGCATCAGCCGCGAGACTTAACGAGAGCCACATCACACAAGCAGCTGTTCGACAAAAGCTTTATTGCTCGTTTGCGTACGAGTTCCCAGTATCGCATTTCCTGAGTTTCTTAATGAGCTTGCAAATGAGATTTAAATAGAAAAGGAAGGGGGGAAAAAAAAAAGGGGAAAAAAAAAAAAAATAGAGAAGCCACAGATCTTCCTTCCCTAAGGTCAGACCAGAGATGAGTTGGGACTACAGTGCCCGGTGTGCAAGCCCTCTACCATGGGAGGGGGCTTGGCAGAGATGGAGGTTGAGCACGGACCCAAGACAAACCCCGCCGGCTGCCCTGGCTCCATTTACCCTCTGCTGCCATCAGAGAGCCTAATTTGTTTCTAATGCACTGCTGCCAGCAACTGCCATGGTCACTGTTTACACAGGTCAGAGAGGAGCAGTTGCAATCCCGCAGCGCTCCCATAGGGAGTGTGGGGGTCAGGGACAGCGTGGGTGGCCATGCTGATGTGGCCCCTGCACCACAGATAAAGAGGAGATTATGGGTCATGGCTTGTAATCTGGTTTAAAACCTGACACCATCACTGTAGTCAATTTGGGCTAAGAGAAGCATTTAATAAGCTTCAAAATGCACCAAAAAAACCCCCAACCCACCAGTGAATGAAGTGCTTGCACCAGTCAGCGCTGGCAGGTACCAAGGAACACAGGATCCCTCATGATCCGGAACAAGGCAATTACACGCTTGTTATCCCAATCCACCCCATGAGCTAGGACCCAGGCTCTGCCAGGGTTTAACTGTGGGAGGCAGAAAGCAAATTAATGCCCTAGTCTGTTTGTTTAGAGCTCACAACAAGCGGAGAGCAAAGGGTCCCTCCCTGTGCGAGAGGAGCTGCCTTGCCTTGGGACACGTTGCAGGAGACGCGGCACTCGCCTGGCTGCTCCGAGATTAAGGCACTCACAGACAAAGAAGCCAGACTCAAGCGGCAGGTCTAATTTGGCTTTCTTGGAAGGGTTTATTTAAAAAACAATTATCATTAAAAGAAGCCTGCTCAGGCACAAATGACAAGGCAAGGGAGCCATTTGGCTTGAGGCTTGAAGGGGAGGCAGCAAGACACAAGGAAGTTTCTCTGTGTGACTTGCTGTGGGGAAAGCACCTGGCCAGGACTCCTGCCAGGGGCACATCTCCCCTCACCTGCACCGGCCAATTTGTTAATGCTCGAAGCACCCAAATGACAAGAATTGCCCCAGGTGCAGCAGCCGGCTGCAGAGATGCAGGGCCAGCCAGCAGCCTCAGATGTTTTGAAAAGTGTTTCAAAACTTTAGAAACCCAGAGTTCATCGTTACTAGAGAGGCTCAAATGTCACAAACCTCTCCAGAGCGGGCACAAGCCCTGTGCCCCCGGGCCCTGCCTGTAAGCCACCGGCATTGCCCCAAGACAGTATGGGCTGGACCAGTGCCACATTCCCATTGCTGCTGCTTTAGTGACCGATCAACTGCAGCATCTCCTGAGGATCCACTATCTTCTCCCGGGGTTTGCCAGCAGCTTTGCCTCTTGCCACTTCAGCAGCATCTATTTTCTCCCAGTCTGAGAAGGAAACGGGACGGACCCCTGGGGTGACAGCAAGAGACAGGAGGGAGAAGTTAACCAAGTGAAAACAAGTTCAGCTTCACCTCCCCATTAGCAGGGACCTGATGTGCCAGCAAACCCTGCCCTTTTCCAACACGGCGTCCGACTTCAGCCTCACAAAGGAATAATTATTTCTAACATCAAAAGGAGAGGGATGGCAGGTTCCAGTCAGCTTGGATCAGTCAGACCTTTGCAAGCCATAACAACAGCAAGCACGGCACCACCTTAGGGGACAAAACACTTCCAGTTCACTGTTAAACGTCAGTTAAACAGCAAAACACACACTTTAACCGAATGCCTTTAAACACAGGAACAGCAAATGACTCTCTCAGGCATTTTAATCTTTCCCCCAACTTGCCTGGAAGGATCGCTAGGAAAACCACTCAAGAGCAATAGCTCGCTGTCCAGGCAGCTGACAGCGACATTTTACCCAAGGTCCGTGCTGCTTTTAATGGCCCTTCCCAGAAAGCGGTCATTAACCTTAGCAATGACACAGAGTTTGAGGGAATTCAAGTTCCACTCTCACTGGGCTTTGAAGCAACGGAACGGCAGCATGACACATTTCCTTGGTTCGGCCTCCACTCCCAAAAGCAGCTCGCAGGACTCGCTGCCCCACGACACCCCAATCCAGGAGGAGTTTGGCTGCATCATACCTTCACATTCACTGCTACAGCAGCTCAAACCCCCCTGGCACTGACCTCGGCTGCGCAGGATGCTCTCCACGGCCCCAAAGCCTTCTCTGGGGGCAGACATGTCCAGCACACCCGCCTGGAGATCCTCCAGCACAGACTGGGCAGTGTCAAAGCTGTCGTTCATGGTGGTGATGATCACACCCGTAGGTCCTCTCTTCACCCACCCGCTGCAGTACAGACCTGGATGGGCACACAGAGCAGCCAGGCTCAGTCCAGCAATGTGGCCATGGACCCTCCTGGCTGCAAGTCCTCGCTCTGTCCCTGGGTGTCACATCAAGCTGCAGGCAGTGGAAGAATCCAGCCCTGTGGTGGGGACAGAATGTGGCCCTTCAATGGTGCTGTCACAGCAATTTGTATACCTGCAGACCAGCACTAAGCAGCCGTGTGGGCCATATTGCTTTGGTAACAGACTACAAGGCCCAGTAAAACCACCATAACCTTCAGCGCTGTTTGCTGCAAAACCAGACAGCCCTAACGCGACCTGGGGACAGACAGGTCTTTATGCCTGACAGAGATGGCTCATTTCCTCAGTTTCCACTCTCCCACTGAGGTGTGTGACCGCCTTGTATCAGTACCCTTGGTGAAGGCAGCTTCCACCCCAAAGCTCCCAGCTCACCAGCTGCGCTGAACATGTCCCACGCATCCCCCTGCAGATACAGACCTGGGACACCCTCCACTCTGCCCGAGCTGTTGGGGATAACGCCGCGCTGGGTGTCGAATTGGCAGAGTCACCCGAGCCCTGAGAGAGGGAGGAAGAGGCTGCTGACCACCAGACGGTCACCAGATGCAAAGCAGCAGCCTCCTCCGGTCCCCTTTGGCATCCTTGATCCCTGGGTATTTGCTAAAGGCCTTTCTGCAGCAGTAGCAGCGTGGAAAGAGCTCCCTTTAGATGGGGAAAGGCTCTTGTCGGTGGTACCAGCTTCCGCGAGAGCCTGCCAGCGGCTGCTCCAAACACCCAGGGAACACAAAGCTGTCTTTGGAGAGATTCCCAAGGGCTGCAGGGATGCAGCAGTGTCCTGATCCATCCCTGCAGCCCTGCTAGGGCCATACCAGCCCCGGCACAAACCCGTACCTCCAGGCGGGTCAGGGCCATGCGGACGCCCCTCGCCTGCCTCCCATTAGTGGTGGGCAGCACCTCCTGGGGGCTGCGCTGGAACTTCAGGCCCCACTCCCGGGGGGCTGCTGCCTGCACCTCCATCATCTTCTCCCCAGGCTTCTCTAGGGCTGTTTTGATCATCAGCTCAGTCAGTCGCTTCCTAGGCCTGGGGGCATCTAGGAAGAAAGAGAGCTTCAGGACAGGAACCTCAGCAAAAGCCCCCCGGGGGCACAGAGCCGAGGTCACATCAAGGCGGCTTCAGTGGTATGCGAGTGTCCATTTGGAGTTTGTCATGCTGATGGCAGCCTGATGCCTTTGACTTGTAGTTTGTCATCTCAAAGTGACCAGGAGAACTCCTGAGGCTTGAGGCCAGTGGGACACACAAATCAAAGCCTGCAATTTTGCTGTCTTGCTGGTGCTCAGAGGCAGCAGCCTGTGGAGAAGAGCAAGTCTCTGGACACCCTTGAACTCAGTGCTTTCTTTTTAGCTCTGCAGGAAGCTCTTAAATCAACAGCCTTGGGAGCTCTCCTGCAAGGTTCCCCCAGCCCTCCTGAACCTCCTGCCCTCATCACTCAGAGAGTAAGCATCACTCCCAGCAGCAAAGTGGTTGCATAAACAGAGAAACAGGCTGCCCCCTTGTCTTTGTGGCCTCCTAGCACTCTGAGGACAAGCCACACCACGGTCACCTGGCTTTCATATGCCATGCATTAAGCACTGGCAGAGTTTCTCTGATGCACATTCTGAGCATCTCCAGATCGCTCCTGGACGCTCGCCTATCTGGATGAGCATGGCACATTTCCCTCACCTTTCACAGCATTTTCGAGGCCTGTGAAGTCAGCAGGGTTCAGGACAGGTCTGGCACCAGGCAGGTTTATCATCTCCCTCAGCTCCTGGGAATTGCAGGCAAGGAAGATGTTAGCTCCAGCGCAGAGAGGTTTCCCAATAGCCCCATGCCCTCTTCTCCCAGCAGTCCAGGCTAGGAGCCAGCAAATGGGTGCAGGAAGGAGGACAACCAGGTTCCCCACCCATCCCTAGACCACCTCTCCTACCAGGGATGAGCAGCCTGGAGCTCAGCACTGGGAGACACAACTGCCCTCCAGCACCCCCCAGCTTTACCTTGATAGTGAAAGCCACTTGGAGAGGTCCCCTCCTCCCAACCAGCCAGACGCGCTTCACCTTGCTGCAGGCGAGAGCTGCCAGGGAGCTGTCAGTGATGTCCGTCTTCTGCAAGAGAGAGAAGAGGGTAGGACAAGGGCAGATCTAGAGGGAGCTGGAAGGAAGGCACAGCTTCTGAAGGTGAAAAATCAGCAGAAAAGCAGGCTGTGCATGCAGAGAGCCTGGGCAAGGATGGAAAACAAGTCATCTCCCTTTGCACAGAGCTATTTGCACAGCTGGTCCCTCATCACTGAATGTACTTTCCAAGGCCATAATGCACTAGAGGTAACAAGCCAGCACCCTGTGAGATTGCCTCAGGAGGTCCACCCAGGTGGGTTAACCTTGGGACTAACAGAGCAAAGCCTTCCAGTGATCTCGATTCTGGGGTGCCTGCAGATGCTGCTGGGTGACCTCCCAGCTCAGGATATACAGGCATTTGGGTGAAGCCCACTGCAAACCACAGCTCAGATCACTGTCTGTCCACCCCAGGCAGCTCCAAGCACAAACACAAACGTTGCCAGGGCTCGACCGATGGCTGGCATCTTGCAGCAACCCCATGCTCTGTTTCAATCATGTGCATGTATCTAGATCACAGGATCATCTTTTCCAGAGAAGATACAATGGCAGGGACACCAGGTAACCAGGATAAACCATTCCAGACCAGTATCCTTAACAGGAAACTGCCTGTACACTCTGGCACTCATTTCTGCTGCTGTGTTCTTTGTGGAACTGCTCTCACAGCTGGGTTTAGCCATTGGTTGGCAGTGCCTCCAATTTTTTTTTTAGTTATTTAATTTAGATATTAATACAGGAAGTTGCTGCACAGCTGTAACAAACCTCATGGCATTTCTCCAGGAGGGAGAACCTTTGCTGCCAACATCTGGAGCAGCATCTGTATGGAGCAGCTGGTGCACATCAGCTCCCAGCTGTCTATAAGGGAGCCTGGCAGCAGGAGGAGAGGTCCAGCTTGGACCAGCCACTAGTATGCCCAGTGCTACCAGCAGGAACCAGACTGCTGCCCTCGGCTACAGCAGAAAAAAAAAATCCCACCAGGAGAAGCTTCTAGTATGGTGGTGGAAAAGGCCAAGCAGCTCCTCCTTTGCTTCTCACAGGAAAGGAAGGGATAAAGCTCAATTACCAACCTTTTAGGTACAAGCAGAGCAATCCAAGAGCTCTGCAGCATTACCAAAGGCATGGCCTCAGCCTTGGATGACACCCTATGGACTATGAACCCATAGGGTGCATCCAAGAGGCAACAGGCTTCCTTGGTGAAAGTGCCCAAAGACAGGAGAGTCTGAGGTTTTGCTGAGATGGGCAGGAACCAGCACCCACCCAGCACAGAGAGAATTTGGGCCCCACACTGCCTTCACAGTGTGGGGCACTCCCATTACTCACCCTGAGGAGATGCAGCGGGGACAGGAGGATCCGGGCAATGTCCAGTGCCACATTGCCGTGACCCAGAATCAGCGCCGTCTCACAGCTCAGGTCAGGCTTCAGCTGCGGGGAGAGAAAGACCCAGCCATGAGCGAATCCACCTGGCCTCCATGACGTGCCACCCCTCAGACTCGCTCCCACCACCCAAATTCCCTTCCACCCCTCTTTTTCCCAAAAAGAGGTGATGCAGATGGGGAAACTCCACACCAGCCTCTTCCCCAAGCAAATACAGCAACACAGCCACTCCAGGCACTCCATCTGATCCCTCTCCCCCTCTTTCTGTGATGGCATCTCTGGGAGCAGGAGCTGTTTTGGCCAAAAAACCTCCTCAGGCTAAAGCAGAGCATCACCCCCCTCCCACGTTCTCATCTGGCCCGGCCAAAACGTGCTGCCAACCTACAGAGCCAGCTAATCCGCTCTCACTGATGTGCAAATTGTTCACATTTCTACCATCTAAGAAGGATTTAACATGGTGCCTGCTAATCTTTTCCAATTGCGGGCCTTTCAGGACTTAATCTGGAGCTGAATGCCTGCATTCGGATGCAGGACTGGGAGGAAGGGCAGGGAAACACACTGCTGTACTCACATCCCGGTTTTCAGGCAGCCCGTTGTACCAGCCCACGAATGCTCGGGCTGAATAAACACCGGAGAGGTTCTCCCCTGGGATCCCCAGGACCCGGTTATCTTCAGCACCATAACTCTGAGGAAGGAGCAGACACAGTCAGAGATGTCACCGTGTGCAGGGCTTGATACCAAAACACAAATCTCTCCATCCAGCTGCTGCCAGGGACCCTGCACGGCTGCCAACCCTTGCTGAGAGCCAGGATACTCAATGGAGAGGCTAAACACAGCCTGAGCACAGGGGCTTCACTCACCCTGTCCCCCTGGGTTCCAGAGCCAAACTTGACCTTCTTGGGCCAAGGCAGAGCACAACAAGCTGAGGACTGGAGGGACAAATCCATGTCAGGCTGAAACAGGTATTAGCTATCATAGGGAAGGGGTTCCTCAATCACTGCCCCTTGCAGCGGGGTTTCAGAGACCTGCAGTTGATGCCATGCTCTAGCACATGTTCCCTGCATGGCTTTGGACGAACCTCGTAGCATCTGAGCTGTCCCGAGGCTGGGGAGAGTTCACCATGGTAATAAGGCACCCAGAAATGCCTCACTCAAACCCTCTTCCTGAGATGCCAGCAGGGAATAACCCTGCAGACCTTCCCCGCAACTTCTGGGGAGCTAAGGCAGCCCTGGCTCTGAGGTGTGGTACCCACCAGCACCACGGCGTGGTACGCCTGCTGCAGCTCTGCCACCGCGACGTCCCTCCCCACAGTGATGTTTCCGTAGTAGGCGCAGCGCTCCGAGCGTGCCGTCTGCGTGAAGGCATTGATCACATTCTGCCAAGATCAAACAAGTGCCATGGAGTTACATCCAAGCCACAGCTGGGCCAAGGTCTGCTGCTGACAGGAGGTCCCTGTTCCTGTCCCCTCCAGCCTTGAGATTTCTCCCCTTCTTCAAGTCAGTTATTCTGACACTCTTATCTAACA